GTGTCTATTGTTAAAGTTGGTTGAGATCCAATCAGCGTTACGTTTTGATTCTCTATGTGACAGTGCAACTCCTGTCATCCCTCCCCCAGCATATCACCCCAAATGACTAGGATTTCACTTTGTTTTTGGTACTGTTTATCACAGGCTGAAATCCTTGTCCTAATTAAAGCACATCTGCATCAAAGAGCTGAATTATAATTTCACTTGAATTCAGCTCTCAAATGTCAATGTGCGGTAGTTATGGTGGACACACAGACAGCCTTTGTAGCATGTGGAAGACTTTTTTTCATGGCGTATGCCGGTGCAGGGGGCGGAATCGTGATGATGTCATTGTCTGAAAGCACATAGATAATAAAGGACTTTTCAGAATGGGTTAGGCCTGACTATGTAGGCAGGCTTATGTGCATAACTTTGTAAAACATTTAGCTATTTTTTTGCACAATCTATACATGACTGTGCATGCGCAAAAAGACAGCATACTATGGAAGCCCAAAGCTATAAAATGAACTTGAGTTATGAGAGCAGCCTATCTCCTCCTGGGATCTCCATAGGAAGCACTGTTGCAATGCCTTGGCTGCCCATGTCTACTAGTAAATTCTTATTTCATCCTTTCATTATTTAAAGAATATGTTGCATACCTATACCTTTTCACTCTCATACTCTACATGATCTACTAATCTGTTCCTGTGTTTTGGAAAGAAGAGAATTTTCTGCCCTTTCGAGACATTAATCTGCTCAACATCACCATATAGAAGCACTGTGCTTTCTGCTCAGATATTACATACCTCCCAACATTTTAAGGGGACAAAGAGGGACACTTTAACTTAGGGGTGTGAGTGGGGGCATGGCCAGGAACAGGGCTGTTCTAAAAAAGATCTGGTGACTTACTAATAACAATGTATGCAACTATAATGTAATTTAGAAGATATCGTATTTACACAGACTGATTTCTAAACACATTTATTGTAGTTTAGAAAGACATATTGCTGGGATTATTATTGCCGTGGAGCTCTGTTATACACTCAGACGCACCAACAATATGGAATTCCTAGAAAAGAGGGCCCAAAATAGGGACTGTCCCTCCTAACTAGGGACACTTGGGAGGTATGCATATCTCTATGTTTGAAGTTATTGTTAGCTAGTGATGTGCACAAAAAGCCCCTGCTTTGTTCACACTCTGGTCCCAATAAATTACCAAAGCTTCTGCCAGGGAAGTAATGGATAGAATTGGGCAGAAACCAGCAATATTGAAAGGTAATTATTCAGAAACCTGCACTAGTACAGTAAACCATAAGGAATGATTTGCTTGACAAATCTTCAAATCAGGAGGGAGTCTTGCAATTTTTAATGAGAGAGCAGTGTGTGTCCTTACCTATAATTGCTCCCTATCCAACATGTGTTGTATCACAGTTTGCACAGAGATATGACATCCTATTCCAGACCCTCTGGCTGACAGGGTGCGAAGTAAAACGCCAAGAGAACACTATGCCAGGAAAGGGAACGGGTAGCAATATCTACTGTTATATATAATTAAATAAATGTAATTAAAAAAAAAAAAACTCCCTTTCAGAAAGGTCTTATTGCACTGAACAAACAGTGATTATACATTAATCGGCTTATTGTAAGGTGTATGTTACAATCAATCAGGACCAAAAAAAACTATCTTGGCCACCCTGGCCTCCGACCTATCTTCTGCCCTAGTGGTTATCGTTAAATGATTTTCACATTTAAACCAGTTTTCTTTGGCGCAAATAAAAGGATGAAAGGATGAAAGGGAATAAAGAGGGGAAGGGGTACAGAAACGAAAAACTGTTATAGAGGGATAGAGATAAGGGGGTACAGGGTCAATTCTACAATTAATTGTGTTGCATTGTATATAGTAATATACATATATGTATACACTGGTTGTGTACTATTTTTAGAAGGAAATATACTTTGATTACAGGTGAAGAGGTGGGTCGTAGGAATTCCCATTCACTCCACACCCTGTCAAATATTTGAGAAATGTCAACCATATCTGCCTTTTTCACAGTTCTTTGTTACTGTCTAATATAGGTGTAACTGATGCCAAATTAATGATGCTTTGAGAGTTTCACAGCTTGGAAATAGCCTTATTAGCGGTTAGAAATAAATAAGTCCTGTAGTTTTAACGCTGCAATATAAAACACTGCTATTTTGTAGCTACATATCTCATATGCATGAGATGCGATACGCATTTCATCCCCAATGATCTTCTACGGAGTGCATTGGATTGAGGAAGCAATGCAGGAGAGGGTAGAAATTCCAAGAGGGTCTCGGCACTTGAAAAAAAGACATCTAAAAAAACATTAAACATATTTTTTTAAGGTGCATTGAGGAATGGTTCTAAAGCTAATTAGGCACTAGTGGTACAGGTTTGTATTCCTAGAGCTATAGTGTTCCTTTAATTTCTCCATATTGGAAAATCATGGACTTATGCCTCTTTTAGCATAGAATCACGGGAGGGAATGCACAGATTAGTAGCATTTCTTTTGACAGAAAGTAATGTACTCAAAGGAATTTAAAATGATCTCTCTCGGGCAAATTTCGAGTCTTTTGGAGAGTATCAAAATTTTGTATTGCATTATTATGTAGAAAATCCACTAATGTTCTTATAACACTTTGATGTCACAAGGTTATAGCAATGTCTCACAAGCAGGCTTCCACACCGTGCAATGCAGTATAGCATCAATCAGTGATTGCTACGGGGAGTTTTTAACACCAGGGCATCACATAATTGTGGAACGACCTCCCGCACGCTTTAAAATCTTCCCCAAGCCTAAAGATCCCTCTCTACATACCTCAAAACAGAATGCACGTGTCATGGTTGATTATATATTTCCTACCTGTTCTATGTTAAATTTTGTATATATTGTGTATTAATATTGAAAACGAGAGAAATCTCAATGTATCTTTCCTGGTAAAATATTTTATAAATAAATAAATAATTCTGTGAGGAAGTGGAGTGATAGGCTGAAGGCTAATAGTAGTTGGGTAGTTTGTTTCTTTTGAAGAGATAGTTAATTTTCTATTTGAAAAGCGCAAAGATTACAGTACTACTCATGCAATTTCTCACTGTGGTGAATAACAGGATCAGCTAGGAGCAAAGTGCAGATATGCAATATTGGTATATATCGGGGACCTGAACTCCCTGGAATTGGGGTAGGTTCAACGCTTGACAAGCAACACTTCAAAGATTTAAATCAATCGATTTGTTAAGGCCTCGTTGATCATAGGTTTAATACCCAGTCATGGTTTTGAGGATTAGCAGTGGAATTGTGTGAAATAAGTACAGTGGTTTGGAAAGAATGCACAGTTTTGTCACCGCCGTTCTTACTAAACAAGAATTATAGGATTTTCTCGATAATACATATTTCTAGAGACTGTCGTGTCAATCGAAGTTTCAAATAAACCTCAAACGTCTTTCTCTACTTTCTATTCTTGCTCTTCTGATCATTCTTACTGCAAGCTCTATCAACGCATGACTAGAATGGGCAAAGCCATAAGTAATTTCAGAACTTGGATTTTAGATACATTGTTTGATAGAACTAATATGACTGCTAATGACTCACTTGCGGTTATGTTCCCAGCCAAATTGCATTTAATGAAGTCTTATGTTTTCTTTGGTCTTACTTACATCTACATGTATACCCCAAAAATATATTGAAAATAAAAAATAACAAAATAAATAAAACCTCAATGTAAGAGCTACAGAATCTGTTGGTGCTATATAAATGGCAATAATAATAATTTTGTAAAATCTGTTGTGTAATTTAAAATCCGGATTATATACGTTTTACCACTGAGAGATGAATGATGCCTTCAATATTCCCGATTTTTCTGTTTTATTTTAATTACACATGCCCTTACAATCAAACAATATAAACAAAAACTTCTCCCGTAAACAAAGAAACAAAACTACCCAACCTGCAGAGTGTTGAAGGTCAGATACCCAATCTGAAAATTGACAGTGTGGTATATCTGTGAACATTCGAATCCAGGTGTCCCAAATCTTTCTTCAACCTATAATGATGTCCTGTAGTAAGGAGGTCAATTTTTCTACAGTATAGACATAATATATGTAACACCGGGATTTCCATCATTTCACAAGCAGGAAGTAACTAACATTTTCCATCCATTACTACACAATGTTGAAAGTTGGTTACTTACTGTATAACATGTAACAGAAATAATTAGGGATCGCATTCTGAGAATTTTTACGTTGTATGCCTTTAGACGTAGGTGGCATTAGTGTGCCTGACTACACCATTTTGTGCTTGTACAAGTTAATATTTGTAATTCGCACCATTGCCACTGAAAGGGAGCAGTAGTTGGACTAATTCATCAGAACTGTGTTGGCTGGAATGTGTTTTTCAATACTGCAGTGTCTGTGGTTCGCTGTATAATAATATAATTATATGATTTAACCTTACGGGTACGGCCAACCCATTGGTATGAGAGCCATACTGTACATTGTTGTTGCTCAGAAATGATAAATCTGCACTCCACTGTAGTACGAATTCCCTGATCAATCTGGTAACGTGGTTGTATTTTAAAAGCCATGTAGTGTTACATTCCTCTGTAATGATCTAGTTTGTTATATCAATTTATATACCTGAGCACCACCTATTGCCTACTGGTTGTATTGCCATGCATGTGGTATTATAGCTTGTTTTCAGAACTGTCTGGCTGAATGTGTGATATTCTCTTGCTTGCCTCTTCCTTTACATGTAAATTTTGATTAGATAAATAGATTGATGTAAGCAGATGTGGTACTCCCTCCTCCCCCCACTATTGCTACTTATGCACGAACAGGCGTGAGTATTCTAGCAGTGGTGAAATTAAGAGCAGAGCAAACATATAAATATGTACAGACTTGGGGTTATGTGCTGAGCTCTGCAATGCAGAATTTGGTAACTAAGCTAATGTTTACAATCCAGTAATTCACAAGGCTACTGTGTGAATACAAGTTGCAACAACTCGCTGTTTGTCAATACAAATTAGCATAAGAGAAGCTGTGAATAACCTGGAAAATGTCACTCTACTATAGTGGCTTATAACTGCAGCTAGAATTTGATCTCCAAGGTAGCCAGTGCTAATCTTGTCCAAGCTTTGTGTGTTGTGCACAGGCACAACTTGGATTAATCTCTCTGATGTGAAGCCTAGTTGATATTTCACAAGTGGATGGTACCTATCCGTTCGAGCCTGCTCTGTCATCCTTACTTCCCATATCCAACATTGCATGACTGACACACACACACACACCCCCTACGTTACAGTTAACAGATTCTTTACACTCATAGTTTGTGTTGAAGATATAGGGTGATTGATAATTTAATCAATCAGCAATCCTTGTAATGGTCTAATCTTCAGAACATTTATTTACCATTATTTGGCCTCTCATTACAGGAGATTAAATTACTAAAGCAATGATAAATGATAAACAATGTTGCATTAAGAGACATTCTAGACTCCTAAAGCACTTTAGCTTGCTAAAACATTTGTGTCCTTTTTTTCCATTTTGGAAAAAGTGCAGATTTCAATAGAAATTGACACTTTTATAAGTTAACCTGGTTACGCCTCATTTGCTTTCAAGCAGACGACAGGTAAATGTTAATTCCTGGTTTTGTTAGCTCAGTGGAGCTAAACTCAACAGGCAGAAAATGCTCAGAGCACCTGCCTTACAAAGACGTAATTGAGCTGCATTGGAATGTTTGTGATTGGTCAACCACAGAAAGTCTGGGCGTGGTTAGAAGGGAAGGGGTATAAAGATGGCAGATAGGAGAGCTGCAGGTTTTGCAACCGTTTTTTTATATATGCAAAAACACAAATATATACCGAAAAACAGTGGGACTAAGTGTGGTAGTAATGCCACAACCACCTGAGTGGAAACCCCTTACACCACTCACAAAACAAGCGAATACATACAATATAGTTGGTTTGTCACACTTCTGGATATGTCTGAAAGAAATACATACAAAACACAATACAGTGTAATATTGTCTGTTACAGAATAGTAAGGAATTGGAGTCAAGTACTCACAAGCCCAGAGCCAAATAACTTATGGCTCTCATAGATGTCGCTTTGGGACTACTGCAAAGGATGTCCCCTTGCTATTTCCACATGGCTTGATAGCTGTTCCAGTTGAACTTGAATGAGCTCCAAGAATCCAATGTGAATCTTGTAAAAATACTTTTATTACTCCACAAAATATATGTATAAGATATGGTATAAAAACAATGTTAAAAAATTAAAAGAAAATAATAAAAGAGAGTCTACAGCTATAATGCTATAGAAATTAGTCTTGCCAATTGGCTAATATAGTCCAATAATGTCCGAAACACGTTTCGCCCCTCCAGGGGCTTTTTCAATCGGTATAAATGAGAGTCCTTTGTAGTCTGGCGTCCTTTTATCTGATAAAGTCCTTGTACTTCCCGGTTCCGGCTGATTTCCGTTTGGAACGCACCAATGCTATAGTTTCCTTACTATTTTGTAACACAGACAATATTACACTGTATTGTGTTTTGTATGTATTCGGTTTTTATATATACCCTACAATGAAAAATGAATTAAATGCATGCAAGATTTTATTTTTGGGTATATCTATTAAACGGTGATTTTTTTTTTTTTAATTTGTTTTCTTTTAAGACAGTTTTCCTACTTATGATCCTGTTTGTGCAAAAATGCTCTGTACTGTGCCTAAACTTAATAGTTTAACCTTTTGGTTTGCAAGTTACCTCTCCAAACACATACATCAACTCAGATGATTGATTCAAACTTCTTCGGTCCTCATCAGTGAGGTGTAGCCAATACCTCACTTCTCAGCATTCTCTTGTGTTTGGCTGACTTGCACAGGATAAGGCCGGTGAAATATCTCAGTGGGCTAATGCATCATCATTAGAATCTGTTCAACTCTTGGGTTCAAAGCCTGACAGGGTTGACTCAGCCCTTCATCCTTCCGAGGTAGATAAAATGAGTACCATTAAATTGGGTAATAGTAACATCCCCTGGATGTTGGGCAAAAGTAGCATTCCCAGGATGTACCTGAAAACTAGAGTAATCTGAATGTACCTTTCCTGATTAAATACTTTATTATTATGGTCGCTCTATATTAAAGGGGTAATCCAGAAGTTGATCCCTTGCTCACTGAAATAAATTGAATGATTAATTTGTGGTTTAATAATTTTAAAAAAACTTGCTGGCATTTTGTATCTATACTTGGGATGTGACTGGCATCAGTTCTCTTTCAGGATTATTCACTACAGTGAGAATTTAAGATGAAATTCAAATTTAAGGGCAAAACAGCCAATCTGGAAGAATTCTCTTAGTTGTGCATTTAGATCAACTACTCTAGCCTTAAAGTAGAAGCTCGCATTGAATTCTCAGTTTAGTGAATAGCCCTGTTTGTAATGGCACAAGTCTGCTAAAAACGTGTATGAAACTTGAACAGAGACTAACTGAAGGGACTTTTAAAAAAAAATCCTTTACAATCTGAATGAGCCTTTTATTCCCAATTATTTTAGCAACAAGAACTCACCTCCATTCTCTATAGAATAGGGTTGCTTCTAAGCATGGTTTGATAGTAATATAGCAAATGTCAATCATCAGTAAGTGTATGAGACAGTTCAGATTACATTGACTATTTTTGTAGTATCAACAGCAAATGACTAAGATTAATGAACAGTTAAGTTTTAATCAGCCTGCCATCCATATTCAAGTTAATTCTAACCTCCTCTTAAGAATTATAAGTGTACAATAATCAATGCAGAGTGGTTGAAACCTTTATAATGCAGTTCATTTTTCCCGCATTAAAGTGTGATTAAGTAGCAAGTATCTGGAAAGAAACCTACTGCTTGCATTTCAACAAAATGCTTGCAGAAATAATGATTCCAACTGGAAAAACTGCAAAGTATACAAAAAGGTTAAGAAAATGTGATACGCCCTGACCTACATATTGTGAGACAGAATGTTTAAATTGATTGAAAATAATTGTTTTAGTTAAAATATATTTACACTATATAAAAGTCTTTTTTGTTAAAAAGATTAAAGTTTTGTCTTTTTGAAGGACACATTATATAAGGAAACACGATCCACCCACAACCCATGGGGTGCTCTGTTCCTAGAAAAACAATGATCATCGAACATGAATGATAAACAAAAATTACAACAGGTATTTGAAGCAAGTGTAAAGCGAAGGAATTATTGTTGGTCACACAGCAACCAAATATGTTTTGGCTCTATGTTACTGTTGAGACTTTGACCAACAATAAACCCTTCACTTAACGCCTGCTTGAGTTGCCTGTACATTTTGTCTTATAACATTCATCTGGCATAGGTTTCATGCCCATCCTAAGAAAAAAATAAATAAATAAAAAAAAATATATATATATAATAATAATAATTATATATATATATATATATATTTATATATATATATTACAGGCGAGCGTACACATTAGTTCTTAACAGTCTGAATTTTTAAATGAAATGTATGTGAAAACTAATTTAGAAAACTAAAAACAAAGCCAATCAACTTTGAAATCCCTGTATTTGTTGCAAATATCCAGAATGCGAGCCTTCTGCAGTGAGCTCTAACAGACCAGGAATCGTCGTAGCCAGAACTGGCTTAATTTCCAATAAGATATTACAGCACAGTGTGTTTACTTTAGAAGTTAAACCCAGCTCTATTAACTGCACTTTATCAGACACAGAATTCTGTTGCAAGCTATTTACAGAGCAGAGATTAATTCTGCATTAAACCATGCTGCAATAATGAGCTTTTTTTTTTTTTTTCAAAGAAATGTGTAGGGAGGATGTACGTCTCTACACTCTACAAACAGTTGTATAGGCAGTCAAAACTATTGCTTCAGCCCAAGATGTAACCAATGACAGAGAGATAGTCTTATAATATAAATTCCCAAAGTATATTGAATTATAAAGCATGAGGGATATCTTGGTGGCAAGCCATTGGATTCCAAGTATGGTTCAGATGTAGTATTTGGAATTAAAATGTACTTTAAAAAAAATGTTTTATTTTTGTAAATAATGTGGATAGACTTAACTTTCTTTGTGCAAGTGTTTACAGGGTACAAGGAAAAAAATGGTGTGGATTTAAATGTTGAGTGTGGTTTGAGTGACACAGTAATGGTGCTGCACTCCTAACAGCAGTCTCATCATAATGAAATGTTTTCATGCAATAGATCTGGGGTTGTCTGTTCTTACGATTCTGTGTCATGTACACAGTGGTTAATTATACCATTATAATCGAACAGTGTAGTTACCATTTTTTTTTAAAATGGTGCTACTTTAATGGGACACTGTAGGCACCCAGACCACTTCAGCTCATTGAAGTGGTCTGGGTGCAATGTCCCATATCTCTTAACCCTATAGAGGTAAGTATTGCAGTTTCTGAGAAACTGAGGGTTGACTCCTCCCTCTAGCGGCTGTCTGCCAGACAGCCACTAGAGGGAGTTCCAGAATCGAAATGGACCTTGAGACCGTAATCTGAAGCTGGACGCTCTGCATGAGGACCTCCAGTGTCAGATTTTTCCTCATAGGAAAGCATTAAAAAATGCTTTCCTATGGGAAAATCCTAATGCGAGCGCAGCCATTGCAGAGCCTGACCCAGCGCCGAGGTACATCGGCGCTGGATTCAGGCGACCGAGGGGGGGTACGAGGGAGTGAGGCACTTGTAAAACGGGTTTGTTTTCCTGGCACTATAGAATCCCTTTAAACAGAGCTATAAAAGTAATTGTGTGGGAAAGGTTGCATCTGTTTCATAATTAGTAACAAGTAGACTTGTGCACAAAGCTTTTCAGCTACACAACAAATCAAATGCCTATTAATCAATGGAGAAGTTGTTAGGTAATCGCAAACAAATCTATTAATTTGCCTTCGACTAACTTGTTCGACGCAGCTAAAAGGGATTTGTGCACAAGTTTAGTGACAAGAATCGTTTCAAAATTGTTTAAAAAAAAAATTATATATATATATATATATATATAAATAAAATGGTGATTAGTAAATTCATTCTGGAATGACTTTTACACCTTTCGAGCCAACTTAAAGTATTTTGAACTTTTCTATAAAAACAGTTTAGGTTTTTGTCTCAGGTAGCAGCTTTACTTGAAATTGAAAAAATTATTTATTTGTGGAGTTAAAGAACAAACTGTTATATGCTGCGCATCTCCTAAATGTTCACAAACTTGCTCGTGTGTTATTTTGTGGGTAAAATCATGGTTTGTTCAAAAGACAATTTCACAAAGTAGTTATTACAACACATGAAATAAGTGAGGCACAGACATGTTTGAATTGAGGAAGGTTAAGATTTTGTGTTAACAATGGGGCCAGGAGTAAAGAAGCGTTTAGCATATTTATTAATGTGTTACAAAGCAGTTGTGTTTGGAACAGTTACTTCATTTTCGTTTAACAATACTAATTTCAGATAAAACATTTATCGACGTTGTCTTTTACCCATCAAAATCTACACACAAATATAAAATTTAAACACCACAGTTTTAACGGACTAGCAATTAATTCAATGTCTGGAAACAAAATAAAAAGTTAGAGAATAACCTTTTGAGGAAGTCTGGGGAGGAAAACAGGCACTAGTCTGATACACATGTTAACAGAGCGGAACTGTACAGAGAAAGCACTGAGCATACATTTATATAACAGTCCTTGTATATTTGGTCATATTGTGATTACTACGGTTCTTGAAGCAAAGTCTGTTTTTGTACGACTTGACGGAAGCAGTGGAGAACAGACCCCTGTGTCAAATACGAGGAAGCTACTAAACACACACACACAAAAAAAGTCATCACTTTGCACTTCTCGTTTATAATGCTGACTTGTAATTAGAAATGTTGCATCTATGTCAAACAGGTTACAATTTGCTTGGAAATCTCTTGTTTATTCAGTGGTGAGGAAAATTCATTATACTGCTAATACGGATAATTACCTAAGTCCGATATTTTGCATTCAAGAAAAGGTTCAATCTCATAGCCCAACTGAAATACATTTTATAACAAATTTAGCTATTCAATCATTGCCAAAAATAAGATCCCAGGCTGATGTCGAGCTACAACGTGCATGATCCTATACCTGGCTTGACAGCTTGGAGTCTACATTATGGCCACTCCTGGACTAATTTTTTTTTTTTTTTTACTACAGACCTCTTAGTAGAATGCTTTACAGTGCAACATAAACCCCCGCCCTCCCCCCCCCCCAAAAAAAACCCCACAAAAGGTATTTTCCTGTGTGAAATATTGCCCAGAGCAAAAGGTCATCACACAAAAAATAACAAAAGTACAAATTTTACTTTAATAAAGCGGTTCAGTGAGAATAATACATTTTAAGACCACCTTTGCATTTTGTAAAAAAAAAAAATCATTTAGAGCTAGAAATACAACTGCCGATAACATTTTAAGATTAGGGTTGTACAAATCCTAGTAATGACTGCCCTTTGCCAGACTGACTTTCTACTAATTTCCGATTTGATTCAAGTATTTAATTTTAATATGACGTACAATAAATGTGTTTGAAACAATCTTGAACACATTTAATGTGCTGGTATACTGGAAGAAAGGTTTAAAAAAAAAAAAAAAAAATAGAATAATCCAGAACATTTGTGTTTCTTTTTTACAGCCTGAAGAATTTGTTTGGAAGAACAAGGTCTAGAAGCATCTCAATCCTGTGGAAGATTTGGGGGTTGCAGTGAAATAGTTTTGATCGATCATCAAATTGGATGAACAGAAGTGTGGTGTTTCTAAAGCCAGCATTCACTTGATCATTTGAATAAGCTAATTCTCCGATAAATAAAATACAATTTCAGTAGAGTGTGAGATTTTAAAGAAATGTCTCTTGTTGAGAAGTGTAAGTAATAAGATTTTTTTTTTTTTTATTCTGCCTCCATTTAACACAGGGTATAGAATAAAACAACAGAAGCAATGGGCATTCACAGATCTGCTTAACACAGATGTAGACTGTCAGTTAAGTGCTTTTTTTGTATTTTGATCTAACATATTGATAGGATTAATTGAGTAATAAGTAACTGGTATAATTCCTACTTACTCGGGAGCCAGGTGTAAATGATTTATTAAAATGAAATATACAGATGGGGAAAAAAAAATAGAAAATTAATTTTTCCTCAAATAAACCACCCTAAAAAACACCAAGAGGAGGGAATTGTGATTACAAATACCCCCCCCCCCATAAAAAAAAAAATTAAACATCTTGATCAATCTACATTATGGGAGGAGGCCATCTCATAAGCATTTATAAATCGGAAAAAGTGTAGTAAAATTTTCATGTAAGTTAAAAAGCCTCCCTTTTCCAAGTCACTATGTAATAAATAAGGAAAGACTTTGCTTTTGTTGGTATATATTTTCTGTAGCACAACATAAAACTAAAGAAGTTCTCCTCACTCTATTAAATGCTATATATACACACCTTGCTAGGCACCAGGAAATCACTTTTATATTAGTATGGTTGCCTGAAACATTTTAACAATAGCGAATTAAGCAGAGCCCAGCCACATTATAAGAGTTCTGGGCGGCACAAGAACCAACACCATGTCTGGAAATTTCCATTTCCATCACAGTGTTCTATAGGGAAATAAAGGGGTTGGACAAAAGAAAGGGTCATAATTAACATGATAAACAATAGAACAAAACATACAAAATGACCAGAAATGGATTTAAATATTTACCTCCACCACACATACAAAATGTGGTGTTTTACCTAGAGGCACTTAAGTGCCAAGCAGGGAAACTCCAGTTAAAATGTTGAGAATCCCGAAGTACGCACATTTCTTATGTAGGTAGAATCAATAGTCAAACCTAGAGGGTTCATAAATAAACACCAAGAATATACAAAATAAGGAGGGGAAAAAAAATCCTTCAAATACAGTTTCTAAAAAAGAAGATTTAATCAGAAATCAGTACGTAAAACGGAACTGGCAAACTATTTTGACAGAGGATACACAGCGCAGAGCTCCCAACACTTGAAAATCCACATAATTTTACTATATGCCGTGTTTGTACATAGCATTCAGAAGTTGTCTAGCCCAGAACAGTTCAGGGCTACTTTGTGCAGTCGTATATTAATTACTTAAGTGGTTTTCAACATCTTCCTATATAACCACTTAACTAAGTAACAAAGGCACATATCTCTTGCAATTTATTACAGACTTACTTCCTCAAAATTATTATTTGTATTAAACAATGCAATATAGGTTGATATCTGTATATTTGAAGAGATATTTCTGTAAACCGTACACAAAAATGTGATCTACATACAGTAAATTTACTGTAAAAGAAAGGGAGATGAGATATTTGTACAAAGAGAAAGACTAATCTCTACGCAGTCATGCAAAGTGTAAAGAAAAGCTTAGGGCTTCACATATAGTTCTACTATACTACTAGATATTAAGCTAGAGAGTGCTCTAAATCAGATATGGCCTGCCCAATGTTTCCTGTAACATAAGGTTGATTTACATTAGAACCCCCCCCCCCAAAAAAAACCCAACAAACACCCACATGAAATAAAAGGTGTTGCTGTAATACATTTTTGTTTATCTCCAGCTGTGTTAGAGTCACAATCATGATCATTATAACAGGAAGATACAAGAAACACCACAAGGATTTTAATTAATTTAGGGTCAGAAAGGTGCTAGCTCTAAATTAATGCTCAGCTTCTTGACAGTCTAGATATACAATGCATACACTAGGATTTCACTTAAATCTACCAATACCTAAATAAAATAATTCTATTTGATAAGAATGAATTCATTATCAAAAATGGGTATTTTTTTTTCCTTTTTCGAAATGAGTCCCACCAGCAGATACAATACTTTTGAATGGCATCTAGGTACCCCCAAACACACATACTGTGGCAGCAATGTGGGTTGCACTATTTCAGTTTTTTAAAACTTTTTGTAACCGTGAACCACAATCACAACATACTCCATTTAATAGAACAGCTAATTTGTCAATTACTACCAACAAATTGACTTGCAATTCATAAAAAAAAAAAAAGGGGTTTATAGCATAACAAGTAAAAAAAAAATTAAAAAAAAAAAAATTATATATATATAAAAAAATAAATACAATTTCCACTTTTTGAGAAACAAAGTCTAAAAGTTAATTCTATCTCATTCATAAGACAAAAATATGCAGTTGTCTATCGTCTTATAGCAAGAAATACGATAAACGGAATTGGCTGAAAACCATACACTGCAAAAGCTAGTAATGAATGATAACAGGAAGCAAGCACAGAGAAGCTCAAAAAACGAAATTCAGTCAGTAATGTGATACATAAACATGCTTATCAGATTCTGTAACTTAAAAGAGGCACATAAACACTACAGCTCTGAGTATCGTTATGTTTCGTAGAGTGCCTTGGAACCGTCCCCTCAATTAATATCAAACAAACAGTTTAAAAGGTACATTCCACTGTTCAAATATTTCATATTTTATTTTGTAAAATGAAAGGAAAAAAACCCCTAAAAAGACACTCTTTACGCAAGCTTCTTTCCCATCTTGGCTGCATTAGTATTCCAGAAGTATTATCAATGTCAATTTCACCCATACTGGATGAGACTGACTTCAAGGGGCACTTCAATCACCAACACAATGTAAATGTGTTTTGATAGATTTTAGCTTCGTATTCATGTTGTATTTTTCCATTGCCACTTTTTTTTTTCTCCTTCAGAATAACAAAAAAATATATATTTTGAGCTTTCTGCAGCATAATTCACGCGATATGTTCCTGATTTGAAGTCCTCAGTGTATACACACAGCTGAGCCAATGAGAGATTAGCAGGAGTTAGGCTGCTAAAATGACTCTGTCCTATAACCAATCATAGTCTTTTTATTATATGCACTATTATTTTATCTTAGCAAAGCTAAATCAAACAGGAAGACATTCTGAAAAGGGAGGAGGTGGTGTTATACTGCAGAACACAGCATTTAAAAAAACAAAAAACAACTAAATAGATTTGAGCAAGGAGAAAACAAAACAAAACCAACAGCACTGACCGTAAATCAAAACCTAAGCACCACTAAATAAAACACAGACCACTTTGTCTCAACGACTGTGGTTTGGGTGAAGTGGTCCTGTACTTTTAACCCTTTAGTGCAAAACACTGCAGTTTTGTAAAATGTTTCGTTAACATTGTCTGTCTGAGATGTAGTGATCATGTTACCTAAAAATGTCCCTTTAAACTGGAACTCTCATGTCACTGTTTTCGGCATACATTCTATACACTGTGTTGGCAAGTTTGTCAGCAAAAGATATGCTTACCTGGAGATCTCCTACTCTACTAAAGCTGATGGAGCAACTTCTTTGCCTGCAAATGCAGAACAAGGCATCCTGCAACTTTCCTGGCAGGACGCACAGTGTCGTTTAGAAGCAGGGCAGCTGCACATAGATACTATATTTCTAATGTCTGCTAAAAGCACAACCACGACTACTACTATGAAGGGAAAATAACCAAAAAATGGATATACCATTAAAACAAAATATTTCTACTGATTCCCCCATTTTACAAATAAAAATGATACTGTTACACTCACAGCACGGCCAATTGCGTCTGCCTATTGAATTGACGGCCACTAGAAGCACAAATGTGCAAGTAAAGCATCTAGGCACTAAGACCATTGGATTAAGTGCAAGTGCTCTTGGTGTCCCCTAAATATTTACTGCTGTGCTGATGCGTAATCAAAGTGTAAGAAACTTAGTGGTTTCACACAATTCTAAAGTACCCTTGTGTGCTAGGTATAGTGGAATGGAGGTCCTGCCCATTACCAGCATATATTCTGGATGACGAAGAATTACTTGTAATGAAACTAACTTTTAATTCATACAGTTTCATTTTCAACCAGCACAATGAGTAGATTTAATTGTTTAAACAGGTTCACTTTGAGGTGGAGAGGCTGAGCAGTCTTAAAAAGCACACAGGGAAGAAGAGAACATGATTACGTAGCTCGAGATCAGCTTAATAAAAAGGCATTACATAAGAGAATTGCTGAGAGAATGATGTGCAGCCTAGGATTGGTAGTATAACTTGAAGTAGTTTTGGTGCTTAGAATGTTCCTTTATGTTAATGAAGTGATTTGGGGGCATAGATGGTGCAGTACCCCTGCAGCTTTGCCAATGAAAATCTATCATTTATAAGAAAAAAAACAGTTTGCAGTTTCCACCCTGTTTAGTGGCTGGCATTCAGAGAGTTACAATGGGCAATAGGCTTTGGACTAAGGTCTCTCCCTTCACATATTCTATTAAAAAGAAACAATGTATATTATACATACCGTTACATTCTTATGCTAGGTCATTACATGCTTTTTTTGTTAATAGTTTACACATTCAAGGGAAACTGTAGCCTCCCTGGTTTGTTCACTAATATAGTTCAAATTAAAGAGTAATTTCATTAAAGGGACTCTCCAGGCAGCCGTTTTTACTCACCTGGTTCCAGCGCCGGGAGCCTCGTGAAGCCGCGCCCCCTATTTTGTCAAAATGACGAAATAGGCAGGCGCGAGCAGGGAGCAATCAGACGCTTCCATTTGGAAGTGTCATTGCTCGAGGGCGGCATTCATGCTGCCCTCTGAAGTCCTGAGCGCACTACCGCGCTCTATGCGCGTGGCCACGAGCTGACTGACAGCTCAACTCGCGGTTCTTGTCTCCCCCCCCCTCCCCCGCTAACAGGCAGAAGAGAGAAGGCGCGCACACAGTGCCTTCTCTCTCCTGCGCACGTCAGACGTATTTTAATACGTCTGACGTGTACAAGGCCTTTTTAGGACCCTACATGATAGGAAGTCCCTCTGGTGGCCGTCTGAGTGACGGCCACTGGAGGTATTCCTATCAATCAATGTAAACACTGTATTTTCTCTGAACAGTGTTTACATTAGATTGCCTTTAAGCATTAAGCTGTAGTTGTTCAGGTGACTATAGTGTCCCTTTAAAGGGAAACAATAATTCCAGGTTAAACAAAGACATATGCACCCACACCACTTCAATGAGCTGAAGTGGTCTGGGTACCTATAGTGTCCATTTAAGATTGGTAGCTTGTGTAAGTATATGTATTCATTCTAATTTGCCCCTCCCCCAACCACCCACCAATCATATATAAATGGTGAGTGAAACAAAGGATTTTAGCAAAATACAAGGAAAATAATAATAATTCAGGAGTAAGTAAACATATTTTTATCTCCTTCTTTTGCAAGCATAGTTACACATCAAAGATGAATTATTTTCTGCTAGTGGTCAGATGTAATGGTGAAGCAGCCCTAACATAGTAATACAGGTTGAAAGAGGAGGGGCAAAGAGAGACTTATTAAGCTAAACCACCAAAGCTGCATATGGCTTATGATTTACAGCATCTACAATAATGCTCTGAGGGAAATAATTTCTTACAGAACCTAAATTAGACATAAAAGATTTCACTTTCATAAAATCTAGATATTATTTAATTTGCAGATTTAACGTATTAAAGGGACTCTCAGGCATTCTAATCACTGCAGTTCTTTTTTTGTGGTCATAGTACTGTGTCTACAGGTGTAAACAAAACACAAAAACCAGAGGGCTCACTCATTGCTCGCCCCCTCTAAAACTGCACTTAATACATAAATTATATTTCAAGTGCAAATACTGTCCAATCTTGGACAGCAATGACAAAAATAAAAGAACAAAACCTACTCAAGTGTACATATAAACCTTCACCATAAAGTAGTCAATGTACCCAACATTAACAAAAATAAAATGATTTAAAAAAATGGTCATTAAAACACCTTAACCACTACAGCACACTTTAGGTGTTCTGGTACCGGGCACCCCTGGCACTGGACCATGTTTAATAGCTGCCTGAAGTCTGGCTTCTCTTCATAGAAATAGCAGTATCAATTCTGTCTGTATTTTGGTGGAAATCATAGGTTGGGAGCAATAGCTTTCCAAATCTGTGCAAAACTGCAACATATATAGGACCAAGGCACACTTCAACAAGAGATTTTTTTTCTAAATTTCCAATGCACACCTGCTGTTTATTTTGTATCTTCATATTAATCTTATAAGATGTCACACTACTTGCAACCTTGCTAGGCAATGATGCAACATGCATTGTCTGAGTGTCTACCTGGGTTGACTTTAAATAGTTACGCCAACCATCATGACCACTTCTGCTTTTAGAAGTGGTCATGGCGGTAGGAGAGTCAGTATGTGCAGAGTTTCTGCTTGAAACGCTGAACCTTCAGATATATTTGCAAAAAATAAAAATCATTTAAAAAAATAAAAAATAAGTCAGATGGAGTAACCCTTTAATATTTATTGTTTGTTTTACCAATTGCTGGATACTGTTAGTAATACATTGAACACATCACAGCCCTAAGGTTTGCATTTGGCATAAAGATTGAAAATCACTTTGCCAAACTATGACCTAAATAAACAAAGTTCAGTTCTCATAAAATTTGTCTTAAAATGGAGAAATAGAATTATATTGTAAGAGAGTATGTAATCTGTTAGATGCTAGAGCACACTGTAGTAATTTCTAATCTATAAATTCTCAGACTCAATACAATTTAGTGTCATTTTGCCTTTCAGTTCATCATGGACGCACTGAAAGACCGCAACAAAATATTGACACAGGAATAATACACGTTTTTCACTGGTTAAACAAACAATTTTATATAAAATTAAATTGCAGCCATGTAGGTCTTGGTGGAATCAAAATTGGTAAGAAGCCAGTGGACAAAGTAATGAAAAGATAAAAACTAACTACAGCAGCCCATTCACAGAAACAAGTAGTGTGACTAGAGCTCTCCCCTCCAGAATCGAAAAGAGAAATGCAATACAATGTAAAACTAAATTTGGCCCATGTATAAAAAGGATTAAGCAAAATCTTAATCTCATATCTCGTGAATGCACATTTCCTATGTTACATGTATGGTCATTTAGGATACAGTTGCTGCAAGTAGGATCCTTAATATACAGGGTTATTCACAAATGTGGGAATTTAAATGTGAATTGAAAGTGAATTTGAGATTTAAGGTCAAGAAAGCCTAACTGGAAAAATTATCTAAGTCCGCTATGTTTTCAGTTCAGGTAAGATGGCCTGAACATGACATGTGTGACATGTCATGATTCCCTTTTATTCCATAAGTTTGGTCCTTAACGGGTTAAGAATACAAACACAAATTCCTAGCACTATAGTCTTCACCTATCTAGATTAGCGTTGCCCCTGCCATGTGAGTGCTGGAAGGGTGAGTTTTACTTACCTCGCAGCCCTCTCCGTGCTGGTCTCTCTTAAGGAAGCTCCGGGACCTTGGCTAAGATCCAATAGGAACGCGTTGGGACGCTAGTGCGCCTGCAATGTAAAACAGATGGTATCTGCGATACCATCTGATTGAAATAGAGTTTTACTCTGATATTTTGTCAGTATGACTGACAGCCACTAGAGGCAATTAAATCCTGCAATGTAAACACTGCTGTTTTTGCGGAATTAAAACTAGAGGGACATGGCACCCAGACCACGTGCCTATAGAAACCCTTTAAATTAGAAATTCACTTTGAATTCTCACTTTAGTAAATAACCCTGTTAGACAAACACTTAAGAACACTATGTGTTGTTTATTATTTTATTAGGTTAAACAGCTGCATCCCTTTATATTTGTATGTTGATAAACACTTAATAACGGACTGCTCCAAAGGTATGTTATTAGGAAAAAGTTTTCATAGCAGTTCATTTTGCACAGCAATATAGAAGTATCACCTTAACTGAGAAGAACACAATTCTGCAGCAAATTATTCAACTACTTAGATTTGAGTAGTAGATCAATGCTGGTTATCTTAGATGCTATAGTCAGAAAGGACCACTCCACACCCCAAGAGCTTTATGGGTTAGGTGTACGCTCATTTAATCCCAGTTTAGAAAAGTGCTGATTTCAATAAGACTTTTAAAAATTAACTAGGGAACTCCCCCCGGTTGTCAAACAAACGGCCAGGAAGGATTCCTTCATACTTCTGTTAGCTCCCGATAGCTAACGGAAATGGCAGACACACTCTACTCCCCCTCTCTCCCTCACAGCCCTCAGACCAGCTCCTCAGCTTCTTAAGTTAACACGCAACGGGATACAGAATACGTGCATGCAACAGTGTGCCCGTGCGTGTGGGAACTAACTCAGAAGCTTCTCAACGAGAAGCCTCTGAAAGGTTATTTCCCTGTGAAGAGGCTGAAAGAACATTTGCTTGAACAGCAGTGATAAACTAAGAGCATCAAATGGCTCTTTCCATCCATCACTGGTCATCTGTAGTGAGTAATGCTTTAGAAAGGTATGTAGATTGAGAGCAGCAGAAGAAAGGAAGCTGGGATGGCATCTGGGTGACTCCACTTAAAGGAACACTATAGGGTCAGTAACACAAACATGTATTCCTGACCCTATAGTGTTTAACCCACCATTTAAGTGGCTTGCCCCCCCCCCATAAAAGTTAATAAAACTCACCTTATTACCAGCGCAACGCGCGTCAGCCGGCGCTGGCTCCACCCCCTTAGTGGCATAATCAGAATGGCCGGATTTTTAGCAAATCCAATGCTTTCCCCTTGGGGAAAGCATTGGATTGGCTAAAATTGGCAAGGGGCGGGGCCAAACACTGTTTTGGCCAATCAGCATCTCCTCATAGATGCATTGAATCTTTCTCTCTGAGGAAAATTCAGCGTCCCCATGCAGAGCGTGTAGACGCTGAACCGCACTGCTGCCTACTGTGCAGCACTGAGCCAGGGAGCACCTCCAGTGGCCATCTGAGGAGTGGCCACTTGGAGGTGTCCCTAGGGGCAATGTAAACACTGTCTTGTCTCTGAAAAGGCAGTGTTTGCATGAAAATGCCTGAAGGGAGCTATCATACTCACCAGAAAAACTACATAAAGCTGTAGTTGTTCTGGTGACTATAGTGTCCCTTTAAGTGTTAAACCATATAAAGATTTTTATTTTAAAGCACTTACAAAGGTATGAAGGACCCTGTGCACTTAGTGCACCATAACTACTTAATTTTCACAAAGTGTTTTGGATGCCTGGAATGTCCTTTCAAATTTCAGAAAAATTATTTTTAGTGAAAAAAAAAAAAAAAAAGCCTTCAAGAACATTTCAAGCTGAATGTAACTTTGCAATTGCAGATGTAAATAAAATATGATCTTGAGATCAATCTCCACTGAATAATGGGAATTGGGTTGTTAAAGGTTAAAGTAAAGTATAGATTCATACACAAAAAAGACAAACATCAAATGATTTCTGAATTGCGGCATCTGACATATTATGAACACTACCGGTTTCATGAAGCCTGTACCGAGATGAAATACACATAGCTAAAAAAAAAAAAAAAAAAAAGAACTTGGATCTGATGTATTATGGCCAAGAATGAAGTTCTGAAACCAGAGTAAATGCATGCAGCTGCAGTACACAGAGAGCTATCAGCATTGGAGGTTGAGGTAACAAATGAAACCTAAGCCCTTTGACTACCAATAGCCAATGTCAGAAATGTTAGCTAGTGAGTATAAAGAGATGGGAACATGTTTAAAAAGGAAGAACAGTTCGTGACTGTAAGGGATAACCTATGCTTAGTTCCCGAGTGGAGTCTTCAAAAAAAAAAAACACAACACTGCCATGTTCTAAAGCAGAGCTACAAATCCTGTAAAAGCTTTGCCAGCCTCAATGCTGGGATAGTAACAAGAGAGCTGAAGTTCTATTTAGTTAAAAGCCATTTTGAGAAGCATAGTGATACTATCTAGAGATTAAAGAGACACTATAGTCTCCTGAACAATAACAGCTTATTGAATTTGTTCTGGTGAGTAGAATCATTCCCTTCAGGCTTTTTGCTGTAAACACGGTCTTTTCAGAGAAAATGCAGTGTTTACATTACAGCCTAGTGATAACTTCACTGGCCACTCCTCAGATGGCTGTTAGAGGTGCTTCCTAAAATGCATCCAAAAATTCTGTATCTCCTCCCTCTGCATGCAGACACTGAACTTTCCTCATATAGATTCATTGATTCAATTCATCTCTATGAGGAGATGATGATTGGCCAGGGCTGTGTTTGAATCATGCTGGCTCTGCCCCTGATCTGCCTCTGTGTCAGTCTCAGCCAATCCTATGGGGAAGCACTGTGATTGGATCAGGCCACCACTTCTAATGATGTTAGCAGACTGCTTGTTTTTCTAAATCTAACAGCATGCAGAGTTACAGCTTCAGGCTTGAATACAGTAAGATTTTGCTATATTTATGAAGGCATGAAGGGCCCAGGGGTCTAGATGGTGGTGTTAACACTATAGGGTCAGGAATACATGTTTGTGTTCCTGACCCTATAGTGATCCTTTAACAGCAATTCCTAGAACGAATAATCAGACATGCTCCCTAAGATAGTGAAAACATGCTGCCAGTCAGATCGATCTTTACCGTTTCACCTGGGTTCAACAAATGTCAAAGTCTTTTTACAATAGATACAATGGTGTTACTACAATTCTGAAAAGGTGTTAAATTCACGTCTCAAAATAAACTACACCGTGTTAAACTACACCGTGTTAAACTGCAAGCCAATGGATATTGTTACTGATCTCTATTCTTCCACCCTCTCCAGTTTGTATGGCTATGCCACAGGCATAGCTTATTGAGCACGGAGAAAGAAGTGCATACTGACAGGCAGAAAGCCCATACTAAAGCTATGAGCCACGCAGGAGGACACCACACATCTTACAATGAAGACTGCTTTTTTTTACTATGATCAGTTTCCTAACTCTCTTACTAGTTAACATCAACACTGGTCAATAATTCTAGTCTTGACTCAAGTAATACCCGATTACAGAGTTCATAGATCAGTCTAGTTTCCAGTGGGTGTTTTCAGGACAAGGTACACTAATTACTTACAAATTATAATAAATCATGAGTGCAGCTTATCACAATGATGTTTATTCAATACTGACCCAAATAATGTTTCAACTTGGAACGATCAGGCATGACAAAGACCTTCACAGTACAAAACATTGCCAAGTCAGACTTATGGCTGAGTAAGCATCACTGTCACGCGCTGGACTTCAAGCTTTACATGTTATAAGTTATCACAAGTAACTTTTTTCCAAAAAGAAGTCCCCATAAAACCTGGGGTCCTCTTTTTTTTTGACAGTGCTTACCGGATGTATACACTTACCCATGATGTCGATACTGACAAAGGCAGGTTTGCTAACCTTTATCCCCATGACAATTAAAGAGATACCCAGCGTCATTTGTTTTTATTGCTATATTTACTTTTCAGCACGGCCCATCATACTGATAAATAAGTCTTTAATTTGAAACACATAAAACAATAACTCAATAGTTAATGCTTATGTTGAAAAACCCATCCATCTAATAGATTGCTATAATGTCGAATTTGAAACACTGCTACATATAGGTATTACCACCTCTAGGGAAAATCCCTTAAGGAGCTCTGCCTTAAAAAAAAAAAAAAGATTAAGATTTGATTTTATTTTTTAGCAGAGTGGAAGGCACAATTCACAATTAGAAATAAAGTAGAGCATGGCAGAATGTGAACAAAGCGAATAGTAAACGCACCTTTTCCTCAACACTAGATTAGTCTATGCTATAAACATTTAACTGTGCTAAAAACCTATTTTGCTTTTTTCTTCCTTTCCTAGTGTCCATTTAAAGTAAATTTTCAGATATCAAATGTATCAAACAGGCTTCATTTTGGACATTAGAATGCAATTCTTGGCTGAACCTATCATTTTAAGGGCTGAAACACTGCAGAGATAATCAATAAAAGGTGGTATTTTTTCTGATTTCCATTGATGTACAAGATTGTTCTCTCTGTAAATATTTATTTCTTTAGGGAAATCAAAATAAAAAAGCAGGTTAATAAGGACTTCCTTAATACAGGATATCATCAACACAATTGCAAAAATATATAAACAAAAACATTTTTTTTTAAATGACAACTGTTAAAATTCCTACCATACAAAATACAGATGACAGTAATGGTATTTTTTTTTTTTTTTAAATTTATTATATTTTAAATATGCTTTGGAATGAGCATGAAGAAAACATGATAAACATTATATACCTGTTTATATTTATAGCTAAATGTTGTACTATACATATATAATCTGAAACGCAAAATATGTGTGCATATACATATAGTTATATGTATATATTTGAAGGTAACTGTTACTAGGAGTTCTGCACGCCTTTGAAGTGTAAAACACATGCAAACTCACACCGTCTTCACTAACAAGTATCTTGATTCAAGAAAAAAAAAAAAAAAAAATCAAAAACACAAACCCAACACAAAAACACTTTAGAAAGGCCTTCACATGACAAGAGCTAGCACAAATCTCACATTCACTCAGCTAATAAGGGCAAGGGGCCCACACATATTGCTGTAGAACAGCTTTCTTGAATTTAGATCGTATAAAGCAACGTCTATGGTTTGTTCTTGGGTACTTGGGAGCGTAATATGGTTCCTATGCTAAAACAAAACAAAAATTAACTCCTAAGTGGAAGTCCTTATGAAACTGCAAATTAAAAAAAAAAATGCACTAGAACTCTTAAGAGATTCGCAGCTTCCTTTGACTGTTTGCGTTTAAACACAGTGCTGTCAATGAATACATTTGGATCCTTCCATGATTTTAATTACAGTATTCCAAAATGATATTTTCAGGTGTGTTTATATATAATAAAAATATTTGCAAAATAATAAAATAAAACAAAACAGTACAACAATGATTATTTTAAAAAACAAAAAACAAAAAAAAACCTACTTGAGTTAAATTAAACCGGAAGACCTGTTGAAACTGATTTCCCTTATAGCGACTCTTGAAATGCTTGAAAACCATATGCATCTACTCTGGCAGTACCAAAAGTACTCAATCTATATTAATGGTTTGTCATTTACGTTTCTATGTAACGTACGTTATTGCACTAACATTCATAATTTTAAATTGATTACTCTGTTCTTGAAAAACGATCTGAGCAATTAGGATACAATTAAATATATAATTATATATATTTCAATCTTTCTACACTGGTTTCAATACTTTGAAAAATCCAATTAATTATTTTTAAAATTACCCCATCCCGATTAGTTCAGTATGACTATGTGCGTACCTAACTGTCAGAAAAATAACAAAATATATACATTAGCCTTTGAGGTAATACACTATGTGTCATAGTGAACTAAGTGGAGTAAATAAGAAGAGTGGGCAAAATATCAAAAGAAAACTCAAGGCAATGGGCTGTTTCTTTAGCCATTAGATGGGATATCTCAGGAAATTAAGAAAGGCTGTTTTGTTTTTCTCCCTCTTTAACTCTGGCTCAGTCCATGGGACATAATTATTTGGCAATACTATAATCTGGGTGAAATCAACTATGATTTTATCATAGGCAATTTATATATCAAATATATTACGCCGTTTTGGTGTGGTGTAAGACCCATGTGTGATGGCACTGGGTTTTAATTTGCAGACAGGAACAAAGCTATAGTTGGCATACCTAAAAAGTTGAGAAAACAGCCCACCTTGGTCAGTAGTATGATGCAGAGTAAGCCATGTTGAAAGGAGCCTATTGAGTATAAAAAAAGTGCAAAGCTGCTTCTGGCTCTGTTAGAAGTCTTCACCCCTGACTGACTGTGCTCGTTGTTATTAAAAAGATCCACATTTGACATTCACTCCCACCCCAAAGCTACGAAACTCCAAGCTACAGGTGGAGAAAAAAATAGACTTTTCTTTACTTCATGTATAGGGAAGCTTTGTCAGAGCCCTGCCCACAAGGAAAAGAGACAACAGCTGCCTTTATTATTAAAGTTTTTTTTTGTATTTGTTTTTTAAAATCTTTGTAAAGTCAGCTAACTCTCTCAGTCACCGGCGTTCTGGTGTCTACAGGATCCTCCCTGGTCGGCCGCGGTACAGCCGAAGAAACAATGTCTTTTCTCTCACTTTCCCCTCGGTTTTTGCACTTATCAATGGACTGTGTTTTAGGTGGCTCCTGGGCGCATCCATCACTTTCTGGTAGATTCTCATCTTTGCAAACTTTGACACTTAAGTCCTGTGGCTCCTGGGGATTTACACTGTCCTTTGAAGTCTCTGGCTCAGGGTTGGTTGTGGGTTCCTTAGTTTCGGAGTGGTGGTGGTGGTGGTGGTGGTGATGATGCTGCTGCTCTTTTTTTGGGAAAGTAGTTCTACCTTTTGGACTACTCTCTTTGCTTTTGCTCTCTGGACTTCTTGCAGGTTTCTGTCCTTTACTGCTTTTTTCTAAGACAGAGGAAGCATACTCTGGTATCACGGTGTCTTTAACATCTACACTCACAGTCTCCCGGGTCTTACGTTTCTTTATTGGTAATACGGTCTCTAGGAGAGGCTTGATGGAAGACTCTTTAATTGCTTTTTTCCTTGCTGCTTCGGCTGCTGCAGCAGCTGCAGCAGCTGCTGCTGCTGCTGCACTGGCACTGCCTGGTTTGCGTCCCCGTTTTTTTGGGGCGGACGGTGGGTCAATCTCGGATTTTCGTTTACGTCCAGGCCTTTTGATTACCAAGACCTGTTCTGAAGTGGTTGCGTCAGACTCTTTAGTTTCTGAGAAAGGCATTTTGACTAGGAGTTTTCCAGGACTCTCTTCTATGACCCTTTTCACCTGAACACCCTCGGACTTTACAGCTATCTTTGATTTGACACTCCCTTTGGGTCTTCCTCTCCCTCTGCCTGTACCAGCAGGTTTTGAAGCTTTGGGTTTTTTCGGCTGTTTCTGTTCCCTTCGAGATGGACTCCCTCTCCCAGTTACTGTGAAGTCAAAATCATTTGGATCAAGGGATGTATCACCGACCTTTTGGAAGTATGCTATAAGTTCAACTTTGGAACGAAAAGCTTTCCCTTTTGGACTGTACAAACGAAAGAGGAAAAAGAAGAACATAAAAATAAAAATGTATTTGTTATTCTCAAAACTGTATGGAAGATAATATTTGCTATTTATGTTTGTTTGTGTTGGTTTTTCAGGTAACAATCATATACAAGACATTTTAGGATTGCATATTCAGAAAGATTTTACATAAATAAATAATTAAAAATTTGAATCTCACCTGGAATGTTCTTTTAGGATCTAATCCACCTATTTATAGCAACCGCAAAAATTTGCCTGGTAATTCCAGACGTTTGTAATCACCTTTTCCTTTGCAAAAACACCTTAACCTTTCTCCCTTTGCACTTTCTACCTACTGACTAGGGCAAACAGATTCACATTCTACGCATGATCCTTAAAATAAATTTCTAGCTCAAAACACAACTACAAAAGAAAACAGTTTTTGTATTTAAAAAATAATATAGTATAAAGCTAGTTTTAACCCAGATTAGTACACACAGAATACCTATAAAATGTAGTAACATATAGCGCCTTATTTAGAAGATGGAGATACACAAAAGAAACCTTACTGACTGTGTAGAATATGTACGTTTCATGTGAGTTTTATATTACTTTTTGTGTACTCTGTCAAACAAGTAGGGCCCTCCCCTTTCTTTTGGGCTCCATTATTCCTAAATGTGTGTTTGCCCAGTATAACATATAACATATTGCAATGTTAACATTTCATGAATCCTTACACAAAAATAAAAAATAATAATAAGGTACATGCTCAGACTTTTCTAAATTAAATAAGAAAAAAATTGGCAACTATGGATTTAATAATACTAACAGGGCTTATTTTTGTTAAGGGGATTCAAATCACTTTTCTTAGCTCTTGGACTTAAAGGTCACCAACTGCCTATTCGATTTATCCAACTTCATAGCGATGAAGGGCAGAGATGGCCCTATTTGGATTCTATCCTACAACCCTGGGATTGAACAGGCACAACAATTACTTAGCCAAGTACTTCACTTTAACATTTCTGACTATTTTAAACATTTCTGTAAGTAATACTAAATCAATATGCATTTTATCTACTTCTCCTATTTTCTTACTTGATCAAATATACGTCATATTTCCCAGCTGAACGTCCAGATTTCCTTTGTTTGAGTTTCCTTGTCCAGCCCTCTGGAAGAGTTGGATCGTCATACATTGGCCCTCTGTCTCTAATCACAGACCGCCTCTGCTTGGGAGAGGCAGAGGCTTCTGGGCCAGTTAGGGATTCATCAGCACTGTCCTCTGCTTCCGCAGTCCCTGCAGGGTCTTCTGATTGATGTGCTGAAGGATGTGGTTGTTCAAGCTTCTCCTCATCATCCTTTTGATCCTTTTTTACTTTCCTTAGTTTTTGCGGCTTATCTTTTTGAAGATCCTGATCTTCTGACTTTTCTTCCCTAAAACATAAAGCAATAGTTCAAATGATTTTAGTAACACATTTGAAGCAAAGTGCATTGAAGACAAATAATGATAATATTTTGCAGAATCATGCCAAAAGTATGCCCAGGTCAGGGCACAAATATTTAATATTTTTTTTATTTCTCCATTCTTATTACATCCAGCAATGACATTTCTGAAAACCCATCATGACACTCCTTTCTCTCCTTCTAGTGAGTGGATGAGCCCCAACATGAGCATTTTCTACAGTTTTGTGAAATTAAACACTTTAGAAGAAGACAATGAATTCTGGACCTATATGCCACTAAAACTAGCAGCTGTTTGCAAATAAAGGCACAAGAGCCATTACACTAAGCATGCCAAACTTGTGGCCCATGGGCCGCATGCAGCCCACAATGAATATATTTGCAGCCCACCTGTGACCTCAATATGTTCATGATGCTTAGTAATTGATGGGGCTCTTGATAGTTTGAGCTTTCAGCATTTTTATTCACATACGTAATATACAGTGAATAATAGCCCACAGGTTTCT